AAAACGTTCAGTGCCCCTTAAAGAATATTTTCAAAAGTGTCATCGTCAGCTTATCCTGAAACCACACATCAAACTTGACTTTTGAGGTTAAAATTACATTCGATCATTCACGCGCGAAAATTTAAAGAGCTCCAAGTACAGAAGCGCCCTCTTCAACTTAACTGTCAATATTACATGCCATTACACACATCGGTCAGGCGATAGTTATTACGACAATCACATAACGCCACTTCCGATAGGGGGACAAACATGCAATAACCAAACATGTCATTGACGGCTGTTTCCACCATAGAAAACTGATTCATATTCTTGATATAGAACGCTCACTTCTGTTGTAGTCGCCAAGTGACATTTCCGACGGTGCTGCCATAGCGGTGTAGTCATTGAACTAATATTTGGCGGGCCGTTTGAATCTCGGTCATAGATCACAGTTTTAAATGACTGGTTTGAAATTTCAATTATGTCAAAATTAGGCAGTGCTCCAAAACTTCATAAACTAAAATTTTTTTCATTTTATTTTCATTTTTTTATGTGGGAATCACTTAATGAATAAAATAGTCTATAATCTAGATGATCTGGCGTATCTGATTCATGAGCTGGCTGAAACACTTTCCAATCTGCTTTTTTAAGATGTCCATTTTTCCATTTGAATGACCGTCAGATTTGTTCAAAGTTCTAATTCCCTTGAGCATGTGTGGAGAATTATACAGTGGCACGATTTCTAGGTTGTTTATCTCCAACAAAACCAAAATTTCTATTTCTGTGTTGTTTTTGATGGATTTCCCTGGGCCGGTATTCTCGTTCCCGAAAACGCTCACCGCTTTTTGGTCACTCGGCACTTTTAATGCAAATTTACATTAGAAATGCCGAGCGACTGCAAAGCGGTGAGCGTTTTCGAGGACCAGAATACCGGCTCGTCTATCACTGCCTCGGTAGCTGCAATTCGCTTATGGCTGATTTATTTTTTGCCGCCCGGTCACACATTGTAGCAACAACTCCTAAACCGGCTGCTTGTGATGCACTTATCACTTCTTTCACAAACTTACAATTCAAAACAACAAACTCAACACTCAACGACGATGCACTCAACAAATTATTTCAGATGACAAGAAGACATATGCATTATGATGTTAAATGAACCCCTGCGTTTTGTATGACTGGTTTTTATATATACCATTCTATGTCGGTCATTGTCATTTTCTATGCACTAAACAAAGATAGCTCGCTCATCGGTGAAGTCACAGATTAGAATAAAAACGAGGGGGACGTTGAGAAACGGCGATATGGGCGCACAGCGGTGTAGTCGCGAACTAAAACAAAAAATGGAGGGAATGAATCCAGTGAATGTTCTATTTAAGAATTTATAAATCACTTTTCTATTGTTTCCACTAACTACATATTTTAGGAAAGTCTTAATGATAAGACGATAAGTATTCCTAAAAATTACAGTTTTCCATGGAGAAATATCAGTTTGAGGAATACGTATTATTAAGGCTTTCCTAAAGTAGTTGTAGGAAACAGCCATGAGACAAACAAATACTTTGTTTGTCCCTCTATCGAAAGTAAGGTTATATGTGTGACGTCAGCTAATGCCACAAGAAAAATACCTAAAAAAAGCATGACACGGCCCCAAAAATTTTTTTTGCGTCGGGCCCCAAAGATCCTAGGTCCGCCACTGTTTCTCCCTGTTTATCTACAGTCAATACCTATCTCACAGCGTAACAAATTATCCCCAAGTTCCAGAAATAAAGGCCTTGTACCATTGCAAAGACCTGCACTGATACTTAGATTTCTAATAAGCATACAATAGAATTCGTTTTCAATCGTAATTCATGGAGCGGGAATTCGGCGGATTAAGCGAATTTAAATATTTTGGAAAAATAGCATCATTTAGATCACTATTATCACAGTTCTCGACACTATCTATACTGGAGTCGAGTTTTTCGAGCTTGACGTACAACAGTTCGACAACTTGTTCGTTTATTTCTTCGACATCAACATTTCTTGCAGAAAGTATTGCAGATTTGGTCAAGTCCCTGAATCTTCCTTCTTTTAGTATTGTTCGTCGATTTTTATCTGACACTTTTCGTATGAGGAGCGAGGGGGTGAAGTATATGGCAAAAATCAGGGGTGACGTTAGGTGACCATTGGCGTTCAAATGAAGGGTGCCACCAGCTCACATTCCTTTCAAGTATTAGATTAAAATCGACGGACTTCACTTCTCCATAGATGTTTTCAACAATATCCGAATTATCAATACATTTCTCCGACAATTTTAGATTGTCGTTAGAATCATTTAGTGTTCGTTATCGCATAAAAATGGCTCAATTTCAGCAATAAGTGCTTAATGTGGGCCTTTAAGGCGGCAACCGTTCGAGGTTTGTCAACATAGACTTTGGATTTTAGAATGCCCAGAGAAAAAAATCCAGTGACGTTAGGTCGGCCAATTGTGGATTCTGAAGGACGATCGTTGACATCATAAATTGCACGGAGTGCACGAAATGTTTTCCGAATAGAACATTGGTTTTGATAATGATAATAATTTTTAACAATTCCGACGCGTTGCTCAATCGTGTAGCGCTCCATAATAAAATGCAGAGACTAAATGAATACGGCTGCCAAAGATAGCACCTGTGTGACTATCGAGTTTTTCATGGGCTATTGTCAAACATCGAGCGTTACTATTGGAAAACCCTATACATACCTAGATTCTTCTATTGGACCTCGAAAAAATATTAAACCACGTCCTTGCTTTGAAAAACAACCATCTACAGAGCAATATCTAATAGCACAGCTAATAGGCATATTGGCAGAGAATTGTCACATAAATAAAAAATTCACAGTCCTTCACAAAGATGCAACCGAGGAGAACATTGAAAATGCCGAAGCAAACTTCAACGCTAATGCTTGTGATTATTGTGAGCTTTGAGATCCGCTAAAATTCAACCCTTTCCAGATTTTCCAGAATTTTTCCGACCCAATCCAGAAATTTCCATGCGTTTTCCAGACGTTTCCAGAAATGTCCAGACTTTATCCAGATTTTTCCAGACTTAGCTAGACTTTATTCAGACTTGTCTAAATTTCTCCAGACCTTATCAAGCCTTTTCCAGACGTTTCCAGAAATTTCCAGACTTTCCCAGACTTTATCCAGACTTTTCTAGATTTAGCTGGATTTTTCCAGACTTTATCCAGACTTGTCTAGATTACTCAAAACCTAATAGAGCCTTTTCCAGACGTTTCCAGAAATTTTCTGGCTTTTCCAGGCTGTATCCAAACTTACCCAGACTTTTCTAGATTTAGCTAGACTTTATCCAGACTTGTCTAGATTTCTCCAGACCTTATCCAGCCCTTTCCTGACCTCTCCGGACTTCTGAATCCAAACACTTTCCCGACTTCAAATACACTTTTCCAGACTTTATCCAGACTTGTCTAAATTTCTCCAGACCTTATCAAGCCTTTTCCAGACATTACCAGAAATTTCCAGGCTTTTCCAGACTTTATCCAGACTTTTCTAGACTTAGCTAGATTTTTCCAGATTTTATCCAGACTTGTCTAGATTTCTCCAGACCTAATAAAGCCTTTTCCAGACGTTTCCAGAAATTTTCTGGCTCTTTTCCAGACTTTATCCAAACTTATCCAGACTTTTCCAGACTTAGCTAGACTTTATCCAGACTTATCCAGACTTTATCCAGACTTGTCTGAATTTCTCCAGACCTTATTAAGCCTTTTCCAGACGTTTCCAGAAATTTCCAGGCTTTTCCAGACTTTATTCAGACTTTCCTAGACTTGGCTAGATTTTTCCAGACTTTATCCAGACTTGTCTAGATTTCTCCAGACCTAATAGAGCCTTTTCCAGATGTTTCCAGAAATTTTCTGGCTCTTTTCCAGACTTTATCCAAACTTATCCAGACTTTTCCAGACTTAGCTAGACTTTATCCAGACTTATCCAGACTTTATCCAGACTTGTCTGGATTTCTCCAGACCTTATCCAGCCCTTTGACCTCTCCAGACTTCTTCCAAACACTTTCCCGACTTCAAATACACTTTTCCAAACCTTATCCAGATTTGTCTGAATTTCTCCAGACCTTATCCAGCCTTTTCCCGGCGTTTCCAGAAACTTCCAGGCCTTTCCAGACTTTATCCAGACTTGGGTAGATTTTTCCAGACTTTATCCAGACTTGTCTAGATTTCTCCAGACCTAATAGAGCCTTTTCCAGACGTTTCCAGAAATTTTCTGGCTTTTCCAGACTTTATCCAAACTTTTCCAGACTTAGCTAGACTTTATCCAGCCTTATCCAGACTTTATCTAGACTTGTCTAGATTTCTCCAGACCTTATCCAGCCCTTTCCTGACCTCTCCGGACTTCTTCCAAACACTTACCCGACTTCAATTATGTATAAGTAATTGGTAATTGCCTATCTATGAGTCAGCACTTAATGTATGCAAAAGCGGTGACAACCTTGAACTAACATAAACATATCGATTTTATATTCAGATTGCATTATTTGCATAATTAAAGCGGTGACAACCTTATCAGTTTAAGAGAATACAATTTCAATATTGGGTCTGTTGATTGATCAGTTTGTATCGCATTCAAGAAGTACCTATTGAATTTTTGAATTTATATTGGTCAACTTTAAGTGAGAACTGGCATTTAATATTGGTTGATAAATTGAAGAGATAACCCACTTAGTATGCCAGATTTTCCTGGTAATTTTCAATCAATATTTGTTGATCAACCAAAATCACTTCCTGCGATCGTGCCATCGAAAGATATTTCCTAATAAGCTTGATCTGTTATCCTGATTAGTCAAAAATGGCTCTTCAGCACCACAACTGTTACACTTAAAACCTTCAATTTTCTTACAGTACCTATATTCTCGTTGGAAAATAAAAGCGTTTTTCTAATCACATTTTCCTTGTTACATTCTCTAATAAAGTAACTAAACATACCTAAGTCATATATTTGCGAAAAGCACTACCTCATATATTTTTTCTAGAGGAAAAAGAAGACATGGAACACTTAGAAGCATATAACCGGAAATTATTGGCAAACATATTGCCAGTTCATGTTGCGGAACATTTTCTCAATACGGAAAAGAATAATGACGTAAGTAAACACTTTTTTTCGTTATGAATGAATTTCGCTTAATAAAAAAAAAAGCGCTTCTTCTCCCTTGAAGTAATAACGAAGGGAAACGAAAATATTTGAATAATACTCTATGTAAAGACGTTTCCACGTGCCGTGCCAGTATATATCAGACAGTTTGTTGTGTTTGTGTTTTCTTCCGATTCATATTAAAATTTAACCTAACATTATTTTTTCATATATTTTCGTTTGTTTGCTGCTATAAGGTTGCAAATTATAATCAAAATGCCTTTGTGTTCACCGCCTTAGAATTATTATCACAGTAAAATTACTTTATTATAATATGGTTATATTGCGAAATAAGCAAAAAGCGTAGGTCTCTAAAATGAAAAACATAAAACGTGTAGAGGCTTTAGAGCTTCAGGGATATTTTAATTTTCATAATACATAATATATCATTTTGAAATTATAGTAAGTAAGATATTTATCTGAAAAAGTTTCGCTATTTTAAATAACCAGACCTCAAACGAACACATAAATTAGGTAGAACAAGTAACTATATCTACATATACCGCTCCGTGGGTGAGGTAAACAAGATGAAACAAAAATTAGGACCGCCTTTCTTTGATGACGATATTCTATATTCTAGTAAACAACAATTAGCTCCTATTTTCTGTAATTTTCAAAGTACATGATTAATGATGATGCTCATGTAATAAATAGGAAGTTTTATAAACTATAATTCTCTGCTATAAGGAATCCGTAGTAAATGTTCTTCCCTCCCTCTTCAAAATACGTTGCTTTCCAAAAGTTTACATCCTGGCATATTTCTGACAGGAATGCATATCAATAGAAAGTTCAAGTTCCAGTAAATTTCAACTAAACCTTGAACCACTCTTTGAACTTAGACTACAACCGGCCCTTCTACCGATCAAGATGTACAATAAGTTCGATAATCAAAGGTCAAACTATTAAGTACAATCTAATAAATGAGAAAAATATCATCAACTTTTCTTTATTCTACAGTCATTGTGTTCGTTTTAGGTCTGATCGAGAGCGAGACTGAAAAAACTTTAAAGTTTAAATTTCAATCTTCACATGCAAACTTGAGCAAATTTAGGAGAAAATAAAGACAAACTTATTCAGTTGCCGTGAAACCCCTTTCCAAGTTTTACGTTGTAATTAATTTAAGTAAATATTCAACTTTTTAGGAACTATACCACGAACAATGCGACTTTGTTTGCATAATGTTCGCCTCAATACCAAACTTTTCGGAATTCTACGTGGAACTTGAAGGCAACAATGAAGGCGTTGAGTGTTTGAGACTACTAAATGAAATCATTGCGGATTTTGATGAAATTTTATCCGAAGATCAATTTAAATACATTGAAAAAATCAAAAGCACCGGAGCCACTTACATGGCAGCTTCAGGCAAGGATAATTTAAATATTCAAATAGATTTTCTAACATTTACTGTTTCAGGTCTCACTCAAAACACTTGCGATATGCAAGGATATCGTCACGTGACAGCAATGGCCGATTACGCGCTGAGGCTCAAAGAGCAGCTACAAGAGGTGAACGAGCACTCGTTTAATAATTTTCGAGCTCGAATTGGCATCAATGTCGGTCCAGTAGTTGCTGGAGTGATTGGAGCTAGAAAACCGCAATACGATATTTGGGGAAATGCTGTCAATGTTGCTTCCAGAATGGATAGTACTGGGATTTGTGATAAAATACAGGTGAATGATTAGTGGAATAGTGCGTAGAGATAAGTTCCAGCTCGGGTTGAATTAATTAAATATTTCTCATAATTTTTTGTAGCTAACTGACATCATGTCAGAAGAATGATTAGGCTCAAAAAAAGTAACCCCTTTTGTTTACAAATTAACAAGAGGCCCATAATATGCTCAGTTTGATGAATAAGGCCTATAACTCAACCAAATCTTGACACCGGTAAAACCAATAAAACATCCAAGCAAGTTTCAAATTAAATTAGTACCTACCTATATATTTTCACAGTAAGATCAAAAATCAAGTATTGAATAATTTCGAAGTATAAAATCAATTGCTAAGAAAACACTTTAAATAAAATCAATAAATAGAGGTTAACTCCCAATCAGTTACATCAAATTCAAAAAAAAAAAAGATAATATAACACTGTACCTCAATATACTTGCCATACAAATTCAGCGACTGCTGGCCATATCATTATCATGAAATGAAAGTATAAACATTTAAGTTTCCAGAAAACTAATTAAAAAACAAAATGATTGAAGATTTTATTGATAAATATGGTCAGCTTCTGCTTAAAGAAGAAATTCAATAAAATCAACTTGCACCTGTACAAAATAGTGCGATATCGGACGATATCTCCTTACAGGGTGATGCGAGGAAAAAAATTAAAACACAAAGTGGTTCGATACTCTAATATGCAATAGTTAAAAATATTTTTGAATATACAGGCTGCTCCGTTTATGGGGTATGCGACAGTACTTTGTTATTTTAAATGGAACACCCTGTATGTGATTGCATATTTGGATTCTACGTAAAATTCTGAGCAGATTTCATGTAATATACCCTTATACCCAAGTTCAATTATTTTGGAAATATTGACAGTTGAAAATTGACTTTTCGCAACTTTGACAGGCTGTCAAACCTAAACGGTTAATTTTAGAGGAAAACCGATTTTACAATCCTATCTTAGATTTTCATAAACTATCATTTGACACCAACTCTAAATTTAACCGGAGATTAAATTTAACTTGAATTTTTAATCATGGATTAAATTCAAAGTTGGTGTCAAATGATAGTTTATAAAAATCTAAGATAGGAATGTAAAATCGGTTTTCATCTAAAATTAACCGTTTAGGTTTTATACCCTGTCAAAGTTGCAAAAAGTCAATTTTTAACTGTCAATATTTCCAAAACAGTTGAACTTAGGTAAAGGGTATATCACATGAAATTTGCTCAGAATTTTACGCAGAATCCAAATATGCAATCACATAAGGGTGTTCCATTAAAAATAACAAAGTTCTGTCGCATATCCCATAAACGGAGCACCCTGTATATTCCAAAATATTTTTAGCTTATGCATATTGGAGTATTAAACAACTCAATTTAAATTTTTTTTCTTGCATCAGGCTGTGTGGAGATATCGTCTGATATCGCACTAAGTGGACACCCTGTATAAGTTATATGACCCAGGGTTAAAAATTGATCAATTTTCGACGATCTAGGCACTCACTCAACAATTCTAAATTTGGAGCATGTTGTCCAACCTTGACTTCTGTTCAAATTACTGATTCTATTATTTAATTTGCATCTCTGACTATCTCTGGAGATGTGGATTTCATGGCCTAAGTATAACTAGCTGACCACCAACGAGATCTCGTCCCTGCCATCGGAAATGTTCAGGTTGGCAGCAAAGTTGCTCATGAACTTTGTCTTTCACATTTTGATATTAAGACCAACTCTAGCGTATGCTTTTTGTAGACCCTATCATCTCCAACGCTGTCAGACAGAGATACGCACAATATCGTCCACCAACGTGGGTTGTTTAGGTTTTTCCCATCTACATTCAGCCTCTCTGGTTCCAGATATAATTTTTGAATTGACTCTCCAGGATAGCTACAGGATATTGTATTATGCTGTCTGACACCACAACCAATAGGTCTCCGGTTAGACTTTCCGTGCACTTTTCCGACCAGTGTTGCATTCTTGTAGATGTTATTGATGAGTCTGGTATATCGATAGTTGATCTACATTCGTGGAGAGTGGGGAGACCCCATAACAGCGGCCAGCTCGATTGCGTCGAAGGCCTTATGGAAACTCACGAAATTCAATACCAGAACCAGAGGTCTGTTTTATGCATTCACTTATAATTTGAGGTTTGAGGTTATCATTGGAACCGGGATCTAGCTTGCTCTAGTGGTTGGAAAAAGTAAAGGTAATTTGCAAGAATATGTAGAAATCGCTTGACAGGCTGATAAATCGGTAGCTAGTTATCCAATTCGGCTATATCTCGGCAGATATTGAGGAGGATTTTCACTTTTTGGAGCAAACGTTCTCCTATTTTTTGCTTGGGCCATATCCGTCACCTGGATGCTTAGATTTTTTTTTTGGTACCTACACTCCAGGGCCGAATCTATTTCTTCTTTAGTCTTAAATGCATAATTTTTTCCTTCCATTTGTGAGTTTTCTACGTGGGAGTTTCATGCCTTTGTCCACAAATTCACGATGGTCTGTCCAAACTCGTTTTTATGAAAATTTCTAAAAACATCTCTTTTTATCTTCGCATTTTTTTTGGAACTTAGGCAGTATCTATTCCGACTTTGGGTTAAGTCTGTAACTAAGATTTCGTTTTTGGTGTAGGTATTTAAAACTGTTTCAATGTCTGGGACTTTCATTATCCTGTCGATGTGTCGTTGAAATTTCGCTATATCTACTGGAGTGTGACGTGTCTTGCTATGTGACCTTGAAATCATTTTTTTGCTACTCATCCTTCAAATTTGATGAGACCTACGCCCGTACCAGCCGATGATCGCTTCCAGGGTCCTTATTCTTGAAACAGGGGAGCAGCCTTCTCAAGAGAACGAATGTTCTCTCTTTGTTACTTATATTATCATTTGCATATCATTGTGAAAGACGGAACACTCGTTCTCCAGGGAACGCTGCTCCCCTGTTTCGAGAATTTGGACCCAGTAGAGAATTTCTTTGATAAGCATAGATCTTTGACGATGTGTTTATTACCGGGACATTTATCACGCATAATCAATTTTATTCTTGACATTCTTTGTTCTGCAATCTGTGGTCAACCATGTCCAACTTCGAATTTGATACGGAGTTAGAGACTAAAGTGAGTGTCTAAGTTATCGTGCTTAGTTAAACTGCCAAGTGATTGTAAACTTATTTATATTTAGAATTGAAATGGAAATATTATTGATGTAGTATAACATACCCAGGTTCGTTCAGCAAGATTGAACGGTGTGAATTTTCATTATATCTTCTTTTAACAAATCTTCTGAATTCTGAAAAACGAAATGAAAAGCAAATAGGACCCACGTTGTGGAAGCTTACTCAATTATACTTACTGGACATGCGCCCGACCTTAGCAAAATTAGGGAAATTTAAGGGAAATTGTGATATGTAAAAAAATGAAAAATTTGTGGAACGTCTACTTTATTATTAAAGTAAATCGTACCATTCTCGGCCTGGAACTAACGAGGAGAAAGAGCACGGCAGAGAAATCCTCGATCTAACATTCCTCAAAAAACAAAACGTCTTTGTCCATGTGCTAAAATTTTAATTCCAAACACTACATTCAATCAACACTACCTAAATTCAATATTGAAGAGTTTTTGTTAGTTAGCCAGTTTCACCAGCAGGTACTGAGGTCCTTATGAGACAGGCCTCGGTTAATACGACGTTACCGGAATACGGTATACTGGGCGCTCGATACAAAAATGCATGCGGGTTACTGGACGCTCGATCCAAAAATGCTTTTTCGTTACAGGATGTGGAATAGAGGCATTGAAAGAAAAACTATTTTTGAGTATTTATTTCGTTAGTTCGGGTCATTATTTTCACCTTTCAACTCAAAAACAGATCTTGGGCGATGCTAACTGAATAATTTCATAACAGCGAACACTAAATTTGTTTTTTTTTTTAGGTCACCAAAGAAGTCTATCAGATTTTAAGCACAAAAGGTTTTGTGCTCTCGTGCAGAGGGACAATTGAAGTTAAAGGCAAAGGCTCCATGGAAACGTACTTTCTAGAAGGCAAATCTAAACCGCCTACGAATATTATCGTGAATCCTCTTGTGTTAGATACAATTAATGAGAAAAATTAACTTTAATTTTTTTTTGGTCCAAAAAAGGCATTTATGTAACAAAGAAACGACGGTTTTGCATGTGATTTCTGTTCGTTAGGTAAATAATGGCCTAAACATTTCTACTTATATAGGTACCTATGTCTTTTTTTCTCCTTGAAGGTTGTGATTGACGATTAAAAAAGTATTATTGTGATATGATATTATTCGATTTTCGTGTAGAACAAGATGATATTCTATAGAATAATAATCCATCACTTGCCAAATTTATATAGCACAGCTATATTTCGCCCTTTTTGTCTAATGTTTTCCCTTTCCTGGGTAATTATATATAACCAAAACCAACTCTGTAAATAATTAGTGTTAAATGTATAGTGAAAAAGCCGTCGTTTTTTCCTGTTAGAATAAAAAATACTCTTGTACATACTTGTTTCTTAAAGTTTATTTTTATGTAAGTATAAAGAACTTGTTTTATAATAAAACTCTTGAGAATCTTGCTAATAGTGTTTTATTTCATTCAAAAGCTGGCAATGCCTTTGTCACACTTACAAAAAATTAGTTGGGAACGTTAAATAAGAAACTATTTGAGGTTGAGATTACTAGCAGATCCTTAATAATTATTTACTCAAAAAGTGAAATTTTTAAATAGAAGGGCATAACACCTATTTTTCGTGTTGTAAGCTCTTTGACAGGAATCTTTTGCTTTATAACGAATCGAAACTAACTCAATTTCGACTATTAGAGTATGATTACAATCTTTAGGGCCTATTATATTCTTCCAGTAGTCTATCTAGAGTCTAGAAGTTTTGCCAGCTCTGGAAAAATTACGCCTCATCTATAATAATGCGAACTATTAGTTTAAACTACCAATAAACAAAAATTAGTCAGAGAATTAGCTCCAACACAATCAGTGGTCGGGTTAGTTATTGTTTTCACAGTCAATTTGTTTCGTTTTATAATAGAAAATTACAAAATCACTCAAAATTTAGATTTTAGTAATTTTATCACTTAAGTATAGTTTTTTGAATTTAGTCGTAGAGGTAGGTATTAACTTTATAAATCTTGAATTAAATCCTGTTAATATTAATTGTCCTATTTGCTTCTATTAGTGAAATTTCTAATTCGTTTTTGTGTGTGAGGCATACGGGTCAGTATCATGGTATTGGTAGGTGTATTATTTCAAACTTGTATATTTCTTATGGTCATGGGTCTGGATGTTCTGATATTGTATAGCTGTTAAGCTGCGGTTTCGTAACTTGAAAACAAATTGAGTGCGGAAAGGATAGAGACTTCCAAACACAACTGATTAAGTTTTTTCCTGAGCCAAATTTAAGGGTAGGTACATAACTATTGTATTCTTGGTCTAACATAAATCGTATTCCCAAACAATAAACTGAAAGTAGCATTTTTAATTAACCCAAACATCGTTACCATAGCTTCCAATCTAACAAAAAAATCTTCAAAAATGGGAAGAGCCGAATACATTTTTACATTTTCCTCATTTAAGTCAGGTGATTTTGAAAAAGTATACATGTAACATGACGGAGTGGGGCTCACAGTATGAACCCTATGCTGGTGATTTTCTGGAACATCAATTGAGTCTCCTTGTAACAATTTAACGCCCACGGATTGCATAGTAAGGTAATTTTCCATTTCATAAACAACGGCACCTTCGAGGACTGTTAAACTAACATTACTCAAATCTTCATCAATGTAATTATCCAGAAACATGCCTAAAGATAACTTTTACAAAGTAATAACACACAAAAATCCTAAATTCTTGCCTGGAAAATCAGCCACAAACATTACGTCACTCTGATTATTCCACGAACGGACATATCGGCCAATTTCCAGAAGTTTTTTTCTAAAACCGTTGTATTTGGTTAAAACTGGTAGAAGCCATTCAACTGGCTGGAAAACAGACCAGCGAGCTCTAAGTAAATCGTAATTAGGATCGTACATTCGTTGCTGGAAACGTTTGTTCAACGAACTCCAAATATCAATGTAGACTGATATATTATCAAAATAACCTTTTAAATTATTTTCGATGCAGTGTGCGTATTGTAGGCACATGTCGGCGTGTTTAGACCATCGTTCGTTATTAGTCCATAAATCATTGTTGATGAAATGTTGCTCCCCAGAGTTGTTGTCTACTATTTTGACTACTACTAGGGTTTCCCATGAATGAACCATCATGTCCCAGGAATAACCGTAAATACCATTAGTCCAGTTATTGAATCCCTGAAAATTAACGGAGTATTTTTTTAAAATATTATGTTTGTGGTTGTATACTCACTTTTGTTATGAAATGCGAATAAGGCAAAAATAATTGAATTCCCATGTGGCTTAGTAATAGAAGTACTACGAACTTTTGCTTCAATGTTACTTTTTTGACAGGTGCTTTAAATTTTGGCTCTCCTTTGTTTATTTTATCACAAAATTGCTTCGAGAACACTTTCCTTGGCCAATCTTCTTTACAGAATAAAGGTAAAGTGGCCAGGCAAACATAGGGAAACATACCTGAAAATTGTTATAAAAGATGGCAACAGATATACAGATTCGGTAGTTGCGGACTACTGAAATATAATAATTGTCTGTGGTTTTGTAAGTGTACGCCATCGTTTAAATAATCACAAAAAAAAACCTAAATTTTCATCGGACATTATTATTTGGAAATTGAATGCCCATATTCCGAAAAGTCTATGGGGGAAACCCAGGCAAGTTGATGTTTAAATATGATTCAACATTTTTTTGGGGTTTTTTGCATGTTGCTTTCTTCAGTGTCCCCCATAATGTTCGCAATGCAGAGTGTATCAGGTATGAGTATAAATATTTTTTCTGCGATTGACAAGAAATGTCAGCATTTTTGACCGGTTGACAGGTCGCAAAACTCAATATTCTGGTATTTCAATTATGTTTCAATAGTTGCTAAGAAATCAATGAATAACAATACAGAAAACACTTTTCCGGCCTAGGCCGGGAAAGTGATTCTCGTATTGCTGAATAATTGGAACTAAAAGACAAACATTTAACAGGTATTTAACCGATCGCAGAAAAAATAGTATGTGTATTTCGGTGGAAAAGCACATTCTCGGCCTTCGGTGTTTGCCGGCCTCGGCTACGCCTCGCCCGTCAACTTACACCCTCGGCCGAGAATGTGTCACTTTTCCACCTAAATACACAATATACTATTTTTTGCAAGGGGTTTATTTATTTCCACCTGTTTACGTTTTGGTTTGTTATTCGCTTTCAAGTAATGTAAATAATAATTTGCATTTTTCTAGTAAAAATAAAAAATGTGCGGTTTTATTAAGTTTTGAATTGCACTCAATAATGACATTTTTGCACTAAACATTCAAGTGAAAAATCAAATAATACTTACTCAGCTACTTGCCAAATCCTGTTTACGAAAATATTAATTTTTGTTAAAAGGTTCTCAAAATACTAAAAATCAACGCTAAAATCAACACGAAGATTTTGCACACTCGCATTTCCCGTATCACGCAATCTTTATAAAACGGGCACAATTTCTTTGATGGGTACCGTTTTATTGGAAAATCTTTCCTTGTAAATTCTGACGGCTAAATGAGCATTTTGCATTTATTCTGCCTAAACAAGTATCTGCATATTCGATGTTTGTAAACATTTTATTTTCAAAAAAGAATAAATTACGCGCATTTCCAATACTTCAACTAAATGACATTTAACCAATCAAGATCATCAGTTCAATCAAGGTTCTCTCTGTGCTATGTTGCCAGATGTTTAGATACCGGAATACGAGTAAAATTTTCATGTTGTTTTCTCAATTTTCCATTATTGTTGTTGACTAAAAATGCATGATTGGATGAACTAAATTTTTTTACATCCCATGACTAAAATTTTCTTTCTTTCAAATATTTGCCAAAAAATGTCAAAACTTCAAAGGTCTTTTTCTTAAAAATGGTTGAGTTTGGACCTCATGTTGTAAAAACTTTTTTTGTTCAAAATGGGCCATATTTTCACGTGTTAAAATTTTTGTAGTCAAACCTATATGAGAAATTTTTTATCTGTAGGATATGGAATTTTTTCTTATGTGCGATCGATCCTGCATTTCCAATAACCTAAAAGTACATTCTGTCATCGGTCACGTGATCACTGTTGTTGTGGCCGCAAATTCGAAAACTTCGATATGGAAACGCGAAAAGTGGGGTTCGATGGCAAAATATCGAAAAAAGTTTTTTGAAAAAAGGGCTGTCTGCGAAATTTGAAGCAAAAGCAACAAAAAATGGGAAATTACTACTTTTACGCCATGGAACTCTTATCAAATAATAATAATATACAGTTTTTATTTTTGAAATAGTCCAAGTAGACCAAGTATAGGTTTTTTATGTTATATCTAGGATGACGTCATCGAACAAGGACAAACAATGTTGTCAATGCCTATTTTCTTTCTTATAATTTACCATAATGTCATGTATCAATAATTCTGACGACAGCTAAAAATAACAAAATGAAAATGTTTATACAAGTCGTGCAACGTCGCGCGCCGTTGCCAACCAAAAACATCTGAAATTCCCCTACTTTAAATGCGTTAAAAAGTACTACAGTACTAGTTTTGTTAGGTTGGCAGCAGAAATTTACTAAATGTGACGTCATCCTAAATATACTGTAAAAATCCTATAGCTCAATATTTATTGTGTATTGGTAAAACAAACTTAAATTCTTCATTGGAATCATTCCTAGAGAATTAAATAAAAATATTCGATTAGCACAAACTTTTTTGTAGCATTACCCTGTATCTTGACAGTTTGTGAGATTTTCAATAATTTACTGTTGATACAACAATTGAAAAAAACCGTTATTGAGATTTTTTAATAAATATTTCAGTAAAGTTCTAAAACACGTTACTTAACTGTCAAGATACACTAGATACAGGGTATTGCTATAGAAAAGCTTCATGTGCTACTCCAATATTTTTATTTAATTCCAATGAAGAATTTAAGTTTCTTTCACCAATACGCATTAAATTAAATATTAAGTTACTTGGACTATTTAAATAATAAAAAGTGTGATTAGGGATCCATGGCGAAAAACAAGTGATTTCCTATTTTTTGTTGCTTTTGCTCCAAATTTCGCAGACAGCCCTAAAATATCGTTCTAACTACTTTTTTCAAGTAACTTTTTCCGAAATTTTGTCATCTAACCCCACTTTTCGCATTTCCATATCTAAATTTTCAAATTTGCCGCCATAACAGTGATCACGTGACCGACATCAAAATGTACTTCTAGGTTATTGGACATGCAGGATAGTTCGCACATAAGAAAAAGTTCCATATCCTACTATGTATAAAAAAATTTCGCCACATGTAGCGGACATTATGGGGGACACTGTATAATTTCATCAAAATATTGAATAACCTACGACCACTACTAACCTACTTCTTGCTTTCTAACATATTTTCCGAGCTTCTTCTAATCTATTCTTAATTTCTTCAGAGTGTGCGTGAAAATTGAACAGGTAGGTATAGGTACTTAATTTTGTAGCAATATGTTCAGGACTAGCATTAAATGGAAAAGGCTGAATCAAAAGAGTTCATATTTTCAGCCAAATCGAAAAAACCTAGACGAACTCATTTCCTTGCTTCTGTAAGTCCCGGCAAAGGCATATTAAGAAGTCGGGTTAGTTTGGATTAGCTCTGTTTGGCAATTTTTAATTTTTTTTTGTTTTACTTTTTTTCTTTGGATTCTTGATTTTTTTTAAATATTATTACGAGGACAGGTTGGTTTGGGTTAGTTTGGATTAGCTCTAATTTCATTTAAAATACCAACATACAGACTAGCCCTTATCACGAATTACAGTGCAGCTCCGTCTGTCTGTTCCCCAGACTCTTGTGTTTAACGATAGCTGTGGAGGGTGGTCAAATTTTGAGGGTTTTTTGTTTTTTTCCATGGGTTTTGCCATAATTCATATCAGTATGCCAAATTTCAGCCTTCTAGCATGTTTGGAAGTACCTTAGAATTTTGATGATCTATACATGAGTAAGTGACAAAATTGGCGTTTGTTAAGGCCATGTAACTTTTTTGTTGATTGATGGAAATCGATAAAATTTAGTGTTAATATTAGGTCTGTAAAGATCTTCGACTGTGCAAAATTTCAGTTTTCTAGAACACTTCAGAGCTGAGTTACAGGTAGGTCGAAAATGACCTGAAATGTTTCAAGAAAAGGTATACAGTAGTGCGCGAACTTGGCGAGGAGCACTACCGTGCCCCCAGATCTAGGAGTTCGGATAGGTCTCCTGGATACAATTAAATGAATTTCCAGAATTTTGAACAGACCTTCATAACTATAGTCGTTGGATAAAAGATCCGCTAACACTAAACCGTTCGTAGAGGTAATTTTTAGCCAAATTACATCGGGATCAGGAAGTGATTTGTGATAATACTTTATGTAGTCCAGTATCTATATCTAATTTTGGCCCTGAACAAAATCCCTTAAAGCTGAAAATTGCTGGAGTATTAGGTCTTGGGGTGCTATTAAACATACTAAAAATAAAGAAGATATTCCTAAAAAAGTTAAAAAATGTACCTTGGGGGTGGTTTTTGGGAGGGTTGTCACCCCCGCAGGGGCGGAGACTTTTAGTATGTTAAATAGCGTCCCCAAGACCTAATACTCCAGCAATTTTTAGCTTTAAGGGATTTGTTCCGGGTGTACCATGTAAACGAAATCAGATGTACTGGAGTATACTGTCGCAAGAGAGCTTACTGCGAGCGACAAAAGACGCAATGTCCTCCCTTGAAGCAAAATCGCGTATGAAGTTCATAGACGGGACGCATATAGGCAGAACCGTTAAACGTACAACGGCTTAGCAATAGGATAGGCGGTTGGTGTCAGGAGCTGATTGGCTGTCGTTAACGGTGTACCTACCTTATGCACCATTAAGGCAAAACGTATAACGGATCAGCAATTAACATTCCAATTCTAGCGCTGATTGGCTATTGCTATAATACCCTGTGTACCTTCTATACCGAAGTGTCCGAAGTTGCTAATCGCGACAATCGCGTGTATTTTGTTATTGGGAGACGGGAGTTAGAGCAGATTGTGCTTATTATTGTTGGCTTTACTCGTCTGAAAATTATCAAGAAAATGCAGACTCACCCAAACCAACTCGTCCGCCTTGTGCGATCTCCTCGTAAGTTCCCAATTTATTTGAAAAAACAAACGTGATTTAGTTTAGTGCATAGCGCTCCTCAAGCGCGGTTTGTTTTTTTTTTAATGCTAACGAGGACTTAATAGTACTAGGCAGACGGGTTATTTTGAGTTAGATTAGGTAAATCTGCATTTTCTTGATTATTATTGATTCAATTTGATTGATATCACTCATTCATCACTCACTTGTAAATGATGTTGATGCTGTTTTTATATATGCCCAAATCGGCATTTGTCAAATGAAGATTGCAGGTATAGTCGCCGTCACAGATAATCGAGATTCCTACAAAAAATTATTCATTTATCGGCGATGCCCGCATAAACAAAAACCG